AGAATACAGTCTGCAGTATGGGTTACATCTCAATGTAAAGAAAAATATCCTCACAACTAGACCTGTAAGCAGCATCATGATAAATGGAGAAAAGATTTAAGTTGTCAAAGACTTCACATTGCTTAGTCGTACAATTGAAGCAGTAGTCATCATCATACGATGTACAGCACTAGGCAAGTCAGCTGCAAAGGACCTCTTTCAAGTGGTGAGGAGCAAAGATGTCTCCTTGAGGAGTAGGTGTGCCTGACATGATATTTTCAGTCACCTCATATGCATGAGAGCTGGACAATGAATAAGGAAGACTGCAAAAGAGTTGATGCTTTTGAGTTGTGGTTCTGGCAAAGAATGCTGGAAGTACCATGGACTGCTAAAAGAACTAACAGATCTGTCCTGGAAGTGCAGCTGGAATGCTCCTCGGACGAGAGAATGGCCAGACTTCATCTTACCTACTTTGGTCACATTGTCAGAAGGACCATTCCCTGGAGAAGGATGTCATGCTTAGTAAGGTGGAAGGTTGACAAAAGAGGGGAAGGTCCTCAATGAGATGGATTGACACCAGTGACTGTGGCGATGGGCTCTAGTAGAGATTGTGGAGCTGGCGCGAGACTGGACAGTGTTTTGTTCTGCTGTGCATAGGGTCGCTATGAGTTGAAGATGACTCGACGGCACCTAACACAACTACAACAACAACATATAAGAGATACTTCAGAGAACAGGGAATGTAACTAAACAAGTAACTTCCTTCTTCCAAAGGTTATTAGCTTTATTATTGGTAATTATTTTTTTCTTCTCTTGAATGAACCATTTACTAGAATAAGGCTAATAATGCAAAGCTGCTTAGAACCCCTCTGCTTAACACAGAGAGGTCAGATGATAAGAAGATTCAAAGATCAACATGTGCAATCTTTTTCCATTTCTGGTCAACACTGTCATCTTCCAGAAAGAATTAAAATAGGGAACAACAATTCATAGGATTTTCCTTCCAACTGCAGTAATTCCTATTGGTAGAACTGAAAGGAGCCCTGGTGGCACAGTAGAAATGAAATACTGAACAGTCACTTGGCAGAGTACTAGAAAAAAAATTCAGGTTGGGCAGTTGCAATAAAATCATGACTAAACACTTGCCAAATCCACCCTCAGCTTACCTACTCTCAGAATTACCTCCCCTAAATAATTCCTCATACAAAAAACGGGTTTAGTCAAACCCAAATTTAAAGTACCAGAGCCAAGAAACAGTGCCAGGGCAGCTAACTAAGGCTTGGGGGTGTGAGCCACAAATCAGAGACACTTGCTGTCTCCTCTGTTTTACTGATGAGCAACAGATGTGCTTGTCTACCAACTATGCCAGAACTGGTCAGGATGGATAAGTGGTTTTGGAAAACTGCTTAGAGCAGCAAGTTTTGTTGGAGCAATGGTCCTATCAATAAAAACTACACCAACCACATGCTTGTCTGTTCTGGATCCAGTTTACAGTTTCTTATATAAATCATCAAAAATTTAACTCTTATGTTTGGCAATCCATAAAGGTTGTGCATCTATTGCTACCATACCTTCCCTCTTTCACCGGTGAACTATTGTTCCCTTCCTCCCTTAGGAGGAAGTTCAGCTTTCATATTATATTGCAGATCGCTCAATTACTGGCCAGAAAAGTTGGCAGTTCACACTTACGCAGAGGTGCCTCGGAAGACAGGCTTGGTGATCTGCTTCTGAAAGGTCACAGTCTTGAAAACCTTCTGAAGTAGTCCCACTATGCATACAAAAGGTCTCCATGCATTGGAACCGACTCAACAGCAACTAATTACAACAGTCTTTTCCCCTACTCTTATTTGGGATATTACTTGAAGGAAAAGTAACAATGGTGGTTACGGTGAAACGAGTTTGAAAAATGCTAGATTATACCAAGTTAAATAGGTTCCTTTAAGTAGGACTTCTCAGACCCTTTAATATAAGTGCACTGTTATATGTTTCCAAGGGAGTAGAGGATAAAGTATGTAGCATGTACAAAGCTTATTTGCTTATGGAACCACTGTCATGGAACATCTCTGTGGGATGATGGTTTCATAGAACACAATGGGGAATGCTGGTTTAAGTACTTGTTAGTTTTTATAGGCTAACTTGGATTTAAATATAACACAGACTATTTAAAAAAATCATGTTCTGAGTGTGAAGCATCTTACTTAGAGACAAACTTGTAAAACACAACCAAATCACATACAGTTAAACATTTCCAGCCACTGATTATTTGTGCTTTTGAGAGATTTTTCCCAAATGGCATACAGACCCCAAACACAATCTAATTGATTTCAGTTTTTCAGATTAAAATAAAAAATAGAAAGCTAAATTAAAAACCAAAAAAAAAAAAAATCAAACTCACTGCTGTCAAGTAGGATCCGACTCATAGCAACCCCTCCTTGGGTTTCTGAGGCGGTATCACTATGAGGTAGATTGCCCAATCTTCTGTCTGAGGAGTGGCTGGTGGGTTTGAACCGCCAGCCTTCTGGTTAGCAGTCAAATGCCTTAGGCACTATGCCACCAGAGTTCTGTTGTTATTCCCATGACAACTAAACAAACTGCTATAATGTAGTCCAAGATCCACCCCCTAGTATCCAGAACATCTGGCCAAAAGAATATGGTTTTGAGATAGCTGGGCAGCAGAAAAACAATCTACACACAGGCAATCTCATGTTATTGTATTTTATTAGTTAAAAGAAAAATAAAAAGTAAAATTAAAGTCAAGGGACAAAGCACATTTCACTTTTATCATCAACTTAATTACTTTAACAATTCATTTATACTATTAAATGGGTATTAAGAACACCCTTATTGAATTCAGACTGAAAAATGAATAAACAGACAAGATGACATCAAAAGAGTTAAGCAGAGGCTGTGATATTGACAAAAAGTTGAAGTAAAATCTACCTTGGCTAGATGTAAACGTTCAAAGATAACTTTCTCCGAAGAAAAATCTAACCTGAATCCTAAAGATTCACTTTCTGCACAGTATAATTCGATGTCAACTAAGTATAGTCATGACTTGAAAACATTTTCCACTTGATTACATTTGACTAATTACCTAAAACCCTACTGAGTATACTATTTGGTATATTACTCCTCTGAGATAATGCCTACTTTCTGAAACCAAGAATGAGAGCTTCCTTGTGATTGAAGTTTTAAGAAATAATTTGTACAAAATTCAAGAGTCAGTTGTTTAAAATCTTACCTTTTTTTCAGTGCCCATCAAAGCAGCAGCCAAGAAATCAAATGACATTGGGAACATCTGCTGCAAAAAGGCCTACTTAAAGCATTAAAAAAAAAAAAAAGACATTCAAAAGCAAAGATGTCATTTGGAGGTCTAAGGTGTGCCTGACCCAAGCCATTGTATTTTCAAGCATATGCAGTGAAAGCTGGACAATGAATAAGGAAGACCAAATAAAACTGATGCCTTCTGAGTTGTGGTGTTGGTGAAGAGTAATGAATATACTACCATGGACTGTCAGAAGGACAAAAAGATCTCTTGGAATAAGTACAGCTAGAATGTGCCTTAGAAGTGAGGATGGTGAGATAGATAGTGTCACTTACGTCAGACATGTTATTAGGAGGGACCAGTCCCTGAAGAAGGCCATTACTCTTGGTAAAGGTTTAGTGCAAAATAAGAAGACCTTCAATGAGAGGGATTGACACAGTGGCTGCAACAATGGGTTCAAACTAAGAAACAATTTTGAGGATGGCTCAGGTCCAGACAGTATTTTGTTCTGTTGTACATGTACAGAGTTGTTATGAGTCAGAAATGAACTGAGTGGCACCTAACAACCATCACTACCACCACCACCTTATCACTCTACTGGCAGCTATTTTTACAAATGAAGAGAATCTGTACACTTTCTAAGAACTCAAACTGAGAAAATTAAAAACACAGAGAACTAAGAAAGCATGGGCATATGTATGTACATCTGTATAGGCCTAATCTCCAAATCTCAAAGAGGTTATATAGGTAACATTCTAAATTCAGAAAGCAGGGTTATTGTTTTGTTTATAAATCAGTAGTTCACTAGCTAATGTTTTAGTTGAAATACTGCACCTGCAGTTTAGAGGTATTCTGGAGCCCAATAAAAAAAGGAAGACATTCAAAACAATAAGCACATTCTTCTCACGGCAAAAAAATTCTCCCACTTTTTATTTATTTTGACATACTGATATTTCCATAAACTTGCAAGTGGAAGATAAGCTTCTCAGTAAAAGCCATTTCATATATACAATATACATAATTTTAAGTCTGCTCATATAATGGATTCTTTTGGTACGAATAAAAATTAAGATACAAGTTATTGACTAGAAATGAAACCATTACCAAACCAAGATACACAGGAACTGCACTTCATTTCAGGAAAAAATTCAAATAATTCTTAATGTGTTAGAAGAATAAAGTTCATTTGTTATAGTATACATTATCATATTCCCTTAAGGCAGGGACTATTGAAAGGTTTTTTTATATTAAAACATGTTCAGGCTTACTTCTGCATACATTCAGGAACTATAATCATATCACTGGTTGCACACAATTCTCTCATCATGCAAAAATCTCAATTGGTTGTTTTCTAAGATCTAATTAGGTAAAACAATAAACTAATAATAACAATTAAATCAGCAAGCTGTAAACCAGGGAGGTGTAGACATTCAGCAGTTGAATTGTATTTCCTGTCTATAGTACTGCTGCTACTCAATCTATTTTCTCCACATATTAGAAAAGCTAATAGGCATTGATAGTCTGAATAAGAATTTCATTGTTGTAGCAAATGATTGAATATGTAAGAGAAGCAAGCTTTCCTAATGTATTGACAATCTTCTGGATACTTTACAAAGAAGGATTGTGTGTGTACGTGTGGAAAGGAATGGGAAACACAGAAGAAGGTAAAGGCAGGTATATAAAGGGAATACTAAGATAGCTATTTTGTATTTGTAAAAAGAAAAAAGGGGTCTGAAATCTGCCCATCTAGTATGTAAAAAACCAGAGCAGACTTTAGTGCAAGTTTAACCCAATAATTTATTTGTGGAAAAAAGCTAGTTTTGATGAGAAGAAGTTCAATCTTTCCTTGTAAACACAAAGAAACTCAACAAGAAGAGTTTAAAGGTATAGGCCAAGAAAATGCAACAGTAACTCTTATAATCCTTTACAATTAAACAGACAAATCAAGTTGAAGACAAGTATTAAAATGCTTTTCACCTTGAGTATTTATCAGCCTATACAAACCGTTATTCCAATTGGCTTTTGATTTAAAAAATAAACAAAAAAACCCAAAAACTTTTTATAAGAGTAGCCACATCTTGAAGAAAATAAATTAGTCCCCTTTCCCCCCACAAAAGATAGTTTAACCTCTAAAGCATAAAAAGCTATATAGTATCTTATACAAATTAACCAGTGTTCTTATAAAAGTGATGTTGACCTGGACTAATGACATTATGCTGAATTTGTGAAGTACCAGGCACAAGAGTATATGTATCAATTAGGTATTTTCAATCTAATTAGTCTCTAGGGTTACCATTTAATTATTGGCAATATATTATAACTGGTATGCATTTCAGTACTTAAGTCATGAATTGTAGAGAACAAGAAGCAGTGTATTATAGTAACAGGGTTCATATCTGACCATTGCAGTGTTGAACAAATCTCTTCTATGAACTATGATTTGTTTTGCAGTTGGTCACTTGTAGCAGATCCTGCAAAGATAAAATTGAAAAGTCAAGATAATTTGTCTGTTGTATATAGACAACTTTGGAACTACCTGAGTAGTTCCAACTACTACTGGCATGGATGATAAGCATAAAGATTTCAAATACAAACAAGATGTATTTTGTATGCTAATATTAAAGAAACTGTATGCCCCCTAAATAGTCTAAAAAGCAGAACAGAAGCATCTTCTTAGTGATAGAAGAAATAGGTTTCAGATTGAACATTTTTGTGAATTAATCATAGGTAGATAGCTAAGATTTTAACAGAAGTCAAATGTACTAAGCAATAAGAACAAGATTTACATTTATTATTTCAGAACTATAAAATATTTTGTTGGAGTCCAAACATGCCACTTTCCTTTTTATAAAAATAGGGGATAAAACAGGTGGAGGAGAAAAGAGAACTTCAAAGCTCAAAAAGTAATGGGTTCCTGGAAATTTAAAAAGGTAGTAAGATTTTTAAAAGGGGAGCTCTGGTGGCGTAGTGCCTAAGGCATTTGACTGCTAACCAGAAGGCTGGAGGTTCAAACCCACCAGCCACTCCTCAGAAGGAAAATTGGGCGATCTACTTCCATAGCAATACCGCCTCGGAAACCCAAGGAGGGGTCGCTATGAGTCAGATCCAATTCAAGGGCAGTGGGTTTTGGATTTAAAAAGAAGAGGAGGATAAGTAAAGTTCTTACTTCTTTAAGACTCGTTATGCAGTCTCCCCTACCTTGGACTTTAAGATGGACAAAAGACCAGAGTTGTTATTAAAAAGTCAAAGCTCTTAAAAAAAGATCCCTTTAATCTCTGGCAGAGTGGTGATAGTACAAATTTCCAGTGGTAAATCTGCTACAGTCACTAGGAGTTGATACTGAAAGACTGAGTAAAAACGAATGAAAAATTTTAACCAAAGTAACATTCACTTTGAATACATCAAAAGAAACCACCATAATATGGGTAAAATGGAAAACAAAGACCCCAGGGCAATTAGGCGACAGGTCACCCGAGAAGAAGAGAGAGAGAGACAGAGACAGACAGACAGACAGACAGACGGAGAGAAGGCATGTAACAACAACTACTTAAGATGAAGTTCACCCAAGTTAAAATATATGGTCTATTACAGCAGAAATGAAAATGGTGCATAAACAGTATAAAAGGCTAAAGCATACCAAGGAGTAACAAAAAACACCATAATCCTGATAGTATAATGAGACAGTGATTCATTAGGATTTCTGACAAATCACTCATATTTCATACTGTATTCACCAAAACAATGCAATAACTACTTTCCTAAGACTTAATCATGCTAGGCACAAATATTAAAAAGTTACACCTCCACTAAAAAGTATCACTTTGCATGCATAAAGAATGAATCATGAGCACAAAACTTTGCGTTAGTGGTACAGAAGATTACTCTTCATTAACTATCAGAGTAACAATTTATTAAAAATAAATGAATAAAATCTATTTCCTATGAATCTGATCAAGAGTTGCTAGGATGCAAAGACTATATATAAAAAATAATTTGTCTATGCAGCAGTCAAAAGAATCAACACTGGTGAATGGAAAATAAATGTGCTCTTAAACTTTCACCCATATCACAATAAAAAGTTTTTTTTAAAAAAAAAAGAGAAAAGAATCAACACTGGCAAGATGAGACATATGTTGTACCTTAAGAAATTTCAAAACAAAATCAACCGTGTAAAAATGTTCCTTTAAAAAGTTTGAACTTTTAATTTAGATTGTTATGACAAATAAAATATGACTTGGAACATGCCAAACAAATACAAACAACATCATTGGTCAAAGTAAAGTAAACCAATAAAAGATAGTCAATAATTAAAGACCAAAAAATGTTCTTAAATCAACTGTAGGAACAAAAACTATTATTTTTAAACTTTCCACATGGGTTGAAATTTTAGAAACCTTTCACATAGTAAAAAAGTGAATCTCAGCAAAGTTTTCCAAGGTCCTTCACAAGATATAAGCAAAATAAAATATATTATTTTAGGCACTAAGGATTATAAGAATCTTAGTGATATTTTCAAAACATCAAACCTTGATTTGATTCTTCCGTATTCATCTTTTCTCCATCTGTAGCCTCTAGCATTTCTTCATCTTCTTCATCATCATGTAGGTCTTTTGAAATTAATTGTCTAGCTAATTTAATATTCAGTCCTTCATTGTAGTGCAGCTTTCTTTTCATTTCAAACTGTCGCTTTTTTTCTATGAGACAGAATAAGAGCAGGCTTAGGTGTTTAGCTTAAGAACTGACAAACTATAGCCCAAGTCTGTTTTATAAATAAAATTTTATCGGAACACAGTCATGCTCATTCATTTTAGTAATGTCTAAGGCAGGTTTCAAGAACCCTGGTGGCACAAGTGGTTAAGCAAGCGGCTGCTAACCAAAAAAAAGGTCAGTGGTTCGAACTCACCAGCCATTCCAAAGGAGAGGGAGGTGGCCGTCTGCTTTTTTTAAAAAATTTACAGCCTTGGAAACTATAGGGCAGTTCTACTCTGTCCTAGAAGGTTGCTCTGAGTTGGAAATGGCTTGATAGCAGTGGTTTGTTTTTTGGGGGCAAGGCCGCTTTTATGCTCAATGGCAAAGTTAAGTAGTTGTAAGAGATTGCACAGCTTGCAATTTTGGAAATATTTGCTATCTAACCTTTTACAGAAAAAGTATACTGACCTCTGTGTGAGATGGTTCAAATATGTATCTATATCAGATAGGAATAAGAACCATCAGAAATTGTGAAGAAAATTTAAAGATATGGAAAAATTATTGAGAAAAATCTGAATGGTAAAAAAAAGCAAGCTGTAAGGAGCTCTGCTGGCACTGTGATCAAGGCACTGGGCTGCTAACCTAAAGGTCAGTGATTCAAACCCACCAGCTGCTCTGCAAGAGAAAGATGAGGCAGTCTGCTTCTGTAAAGACTTACAGCCTGGGAAACCCTACGGGGGTTGCTATGAGTTGGAATTGACTCAATAGCAGTGGGACTGGGATTGGAATAATACCTTATATACAATTTTGTTCTGCTGTGCATAGGATTGCTATGAGTCAAAGACAACTCGACGGCACCTAACAACAACAACAAAATTTAAAATTATTCACTGCTGTCGAGTCGGTCCCGACTCATAGTGACCCCTCCTTGGGTTTCCAAGGCTGTATCACTATGGAAGTAGATTGCCCAACCTTCCTTCTGGTTAGCAGTCAAATGCCTTAGGCACTACACCACCAGAGTTCCCATATACAATTCAACTATATACAAACCCTTATAAGGAGCCCTGGTGGTGCAGTGGCTAAGCACTCAGCTGCTAACCAAAAGTTGGCAGAAGGTGGCAGCAGTTTGAACCCATCCAGTGGCTCCACAGTAGAAAAGACCTGGTGACCTGCTTCAGTAAAGATTACAGTCTGGAAATCCCTATGGGGCAGTTCTACTCTGTTACACTGGGTTGCTCTGACTCAGAATTAACTTGTTCACATACAACAAGAAGCTTTGTGCATGTGTGTATGCACACAAACATACACAGAAAATAAGACAACAATTAACAGTGATTAATTCTGGGCCAAGGAACTATGAGATAATTTAAATTTTTCCAAGTATTCTATTTTTATTATTTAAAAAAAATTCCTTTAAAAAGTTCTTATTATCTGTTAAGAAAATGGCATGATTTAAAACACGTGAAGCTAAAAACTACCTCAGAATTCCCAGAATTTTTAGAACTTAAAAATTCCCAGAGTAATTTTAAGAAAAACTTATCAAGACAAATGGTGAAGTGATTCTAGATTATTCTTTCATTTATAGTCTTCACCGTGGAAATGTAAAGCTGGCAGAAATTCAACAAACTGATCACATTTAATTAACAGATGGTACTTCACAGAGCATGTTTATGAAGAAATTGTTACATTACATTTCAAATTCTTGGACCAGTAAAATAAAAATAATTTTAAAAAGTCCACATAAAATTGCCAACTTTTTGTCAATTAAAAGCATTAAGATCCATTCACCATTAACGTACTTATAAAATATTTTAATGTCAGAAAAGCAAAGATATCAAATATCAACTCTAAATTTATTTTGAGAAAACTGTCACTTTATTTTGATATACACTAATATCAAGATTTCATTTTGTACACATTTTTTTTTCAAGTTCAAAGGCAATTCAAAGTACTTTTTCAATGTTCTCTAATTACCTCTAAGTCTTTTTTAGCATCATCTATATTTCTGTTTTAAAAACTGGTATTTACAGTTCATGTCATTCTGATCACTTTTCAGCTTCTACTTGAGCCAGGAGAGGGAAAGTTCTGAGTCATTCATATTATCATCCCATAAATGTTTGCTTCACATGACCAAGACCTTGTCCAGCATCTCTCTTCTTCTCTACTTATAAACTACTCTTGTGATTTGTTTTGTTATTTAAGGGTGCCTTAGTGCAGAGGGAAGTGAAATAAAAACAATAAAAAGGTCAAATCCTCATGACTAAATTTTCAGTGATGCTTTTCAAGTACCATGTAAAAGCAGTATTAAAAAATAACAAAAATAATGGTTCTAACGGCCTCCAATAACATAGATAAATTTACTAAAAAGGTAACACGTTTTCTCATTACAAAGTAACATGCTCATGATTGTTGTTGTTGTTGTTGTTAGGTGCCCTCCAGTCGGACCGACCCATAGGGGACCCCTTCCTTGGGTTTCCAAGGCAGTATCACTACAGAAGTAGATTGCCCAACCTTCCTTCCAAGGAGTGGCTGGTGGGTTTGAGCCAGCAGCCTTCTGGTTAGCAGTCAAGTGCCTTAGGCACTACGCTACCAGAGCTCCTAAGCTCATGATAGAAACTAAAAACAAAAACAAAAAAACCTTAATTTCCTTTCAGAAATTACCATTAACAGTATTTTATGACTCTAGACTTTTTTTTTTAAATATGCTTTATAAAAATTAATCATATATTGCTATAGAAGCTGTCTTCTCACTCAATGTATGGTTATGGTGATCATGCACTCCAGTTTACCAACAACCATTTCAATTTATGCCTATTATCAGATATAATCATTAATAGCAATCCTTTAACTCTTAAAAGTATCCCAGTTTCTAAAAAAAACAAAAAACAAACTCACTGACATCAAGTCGAATCCAACTCATAATGACCCCTCTTTGGGTTTCTGAGGCAGTATCACTACGGAAGTAGATTGCCCAATCTTCCTTCCAAGGAGTGGCTGGTGGGTTTGAACTGCCTTCTGGTTAGCAGTCCAATGCCTCAGGCACTACCCCACCAGAGCTCCTCATCCCAGTTTACATAGTAACATATCTGGGCTGTGCTGTGCAGAAAGCAGAAAGCAAGAAGCAATTTGGCCTTCATTTTCAGTTCCTGAGAGTAGGACCCCACCAAGGCTAATGAGTGGGGGCTGTCCAGACTAAGGACCACCTGCTTGCCGATGTTGACTAGCCTCAGGAGGCACGAGGCAGTCTGTCATGGCTACATGAGGAGGCTGATAAAAGCCCTGAACCCTAAGGCTCAGATGAGTTTCCTAGTTGGTGAGAGCTTCCTGGTTGGCAAGAACATCTGCTGACAGGAAGATGTGTTCTTTGGGGCACAGAAGTCCTGCTTTGGGAAATTTCCCAGGCCTTGCTCTATGTGTCTCTTCATTTGTATTCTTTTTGGTTGTAATCAATCTGTAGTTGTAAGCATGGTGTGATAGTTAAGGTTGTGTGTCAACATGGCTGGGCCATGATTCTAAGAAGTTTAGCAGTTATGATGTAGTTATCTCTCATGATGAGATGTGATATAATGTAATCACCTCCATGATACGATCTGCTATGAGTACTCAGTCAGTTGAAAGGGAGTTTCCTTCAGGGTGTGGCCATATATATGGGAAAGCTCTGAGAAACATCTCTGGCTTTTTGATCGAGATCCTGCATCTGGCTTATCATCATCTGGACTTGAACCAGTGGCCTGCCATATTCCTTACTGATCTTAGATTAGTCAGCCTCTGAAGCTAGCAGCCTACTGTATTGCCTGCTGATGCTGGGTTCATCAGGCCCTGCAGCTGCATAAGTTCAGAGACACCTCTAGCTTGATGTCTGACCTATGGATTGGAGACTTGCCAGCCTCTATAACAGCATGAGCAATTTCCTTGAGACAGATCTCTCTCTCTCTCTCTAAGCTTCACTCGTTTTTCTTCTCTAGAGAACGCAGCCTAAGACATATAGTATATTCTCTGTGAGCTTCTGTAGTCGTTCCAGGGAATTATGAATCTGAAAGGGGCACTAAGACCCAGCTAGTCAGGAGTAAGTGTGCCACGTGGATACCTGAGCTTGTTGTGGCTGGCATCCTGAGGGGGTACTGGGAAACTAGCCCAGAATCTTTGGGTCAAAAAGTCTAAAGGTTGGGGTGTCCTATGGACTCCCCAAGTTCATGGCTGGTATCTGCCTATCTGGTAGTCTGAAGGACTGTGTCCTTTTAACTTGTGAGCTATGACCTAGCTCCAGGTGGCTAAGGTCAGAGAAGAACTACACAGGCAGCTGAAGAATGGTATTCATCTAATGTGACCCAGTACTGGGTGGCTAAGTGCTGGCAGTGAATTGCATTTATATGGCCTTTCTAGCCATGGTCTTGATATTCCCACAAAATGACTGGCTGGACTATGCAAATACAGTATGTGAAATTCTTAACAGGGATTGAAAAGTAACACTACAAATAAGGTGCCTGATGAACTTTATCCTGTCTCCTGAGTTGTACCTACTACTTTCATTCCTAATCCTGATCCTGAATTATAGCCTATTACTTCCCTAATAGGAGCCCTGGTAGCATAGTGCCTGAAGGCACTTGAGTGCTAACCAGAAGGCTGGCAGTTCAAACCCACCAGCCACTCCTCAGAAGGAAGATGGGGCAATCTACTTCCGTAGTGATACTGCCTCGGAAATCCAAGGAGGGGTCGCTATGAGTCGGGTCCAACTCAATGGCACATAACAACAACAACATCATCCCTAATAAATCCCATAATCGTGTGTATGGTCTGTCAGTTCTGTGTAGCCACTGAAAAGAATTATCAAAACCAGTAGAGAAGCAGAGAGTCCCATGGGAAGGATGGCTGGTGTTGGAATTGGTAAAAAAGGTTGAAGAGAGGAAGTCCATCTGACCTTCACCCTCATAACAATCAGCTTTGGCCTTATGGTGATTCTCATCTCTCCTCTTGAAGTCTGCCAAGGTCTGATGCCACAACATTTCATTAGAGTCAGAGAGAGAGTGCCACTTGGGTGTTGGCAATGAGGATGGAGATATGGGAAGGGAAGGACTACATCCATCTCCACAGTTTGGGGATTAGATTCATGCTGATCCTTACAACACAACTGGAGATGAAAGTGGGATTTCTCCCATTTTAGTGCCTGACATAGAGTAAATATTCTCCCATGTACACGAACAGGTTTGTATCATTTTACAACAGTTATAAAGTCAAAAATCTTGGTCAAAGATTTTTTATTTCCCCCTTTTAATTTTCAATGTTTCTATGATACAATACACATACACTCTTGTATATTTGCTATATTATTTTTTTGATATAAACTAATGTTTTTTCATACTGTGCCTCATACAGCAGTATTTTAAAAAAAGGCAAAAGAAAGAATATAGAATGAGTTAGAATATATTACATATAGTAAAAGGTGAGTACTGTTCTGTGAAATTTTTATTTTTCAGTTGTATGTGTACATGTATATTGAGTGGGATTACCTTGAAAAGTATTTGAAAAACATCGGATTAAACCCTAGGAAACGGAATTGTTAGATCAAAGAATATGTATTTCCTTTTACAACTTTTGGTGCACGTATCGCCACAGTGTCCCCTAGAAAGGCCAAAGCCATTTTACATGACCCACCAATAGTACATGACTAACCTACTTCTTCCCAATCACACCAAAAGAGAAATTACTATTCTTTTTAATTTGTATTACATGAAAGGAACGGTACCATAATACTTTAACTTGCAGTTTCTTATTACTAGGACGGATACTAACAGTGTCTCACTTTTCTGAATTATATTTCCACAGTCTTAAGAAAATGATTTCTTTCAGTTTTTCTAAGAAATACTGAACTTTTTTCTTGTTAAAAATATAGTTTGGAATAGTTAAAATTTATTGTACAATTCAAAAATACGTAATATATTCATTTATAGTAAGCTGCTAATATAAGTGGTCTCAATCACCTTTGAATATTTAGATTAACTTTATTTATAATCTTTGTTTGGCACAACAACATAAGCCACAGAGTACAAGGAGATAGAAGTTTTAGGCCCAGCTTAAATAATCAATTATCCATGTGAACTCAGTAAGTGAATTATCCTTTCTGTACCTTCTTTTTCTTTTCTGCAAAATAGTATAATGAGGAATATCCTAATTATTTTAAGTTATTAAAAGTTAGTATTAACTGAGCACTTACCATATGTCGGGATCAGTGCTAAGTGCTTTAAATGCTTAATTTCACCTTAACACTAACAACTCTGAAGTATCTATTCTTAAAGCTCTCAATTTAGAAATGAGGAAACTAAGAGTCAGAAAAATGATTCAAATTAGCTAAATGAAATACTTGGAACACAAATTTAGGTCTGACTCAACAGTCAGTATTAATTGTTCTAAGATACAAGCTAATTTTCATGCAGAAGTACCAGGTCACAATTACCACTTCCAAAATGATCATACATTCACAAAATAATCTTTGAGTGCCTACTACATGCCAGGTACAGGAGATACTTTCTTCTCATGAAGTTTTACATTCTAATTAAGAAAATCAACAATTTAACAAATACACACAAAAAAATTTACATAAATGCTATGAAGAAAATAAAAGAAGATAATGGGAGAATGAATGACCAATGCAGAAGTGTTTCTCTAGAAAGGGAAGAAAAGGAGGTTAGTATATGAGTTGAAATTGTATAATGCTGCTATCCATTATGTAGCTAAAACTATGATATGAAAATTGTATAAAAACATAAAACTTATGACTTTCTCAAATATATATACTTTCAAGACTCAAATAAATGATTTTTATACAGTGTCTGGCTATAACTGACTAGGCATGTTAATGAGCTTATTTTATAAATAGACTGATTTTCTAAGAATTTCTCCTGTCAATGTAAAAGGATTTCCAGATATAATTTGCTTAAAACAACAAATATCTACAAAAGTCAGTACCAGTGGGAAGTGTAATTCCTGAAATTGTTGTTAGTGAAATTAGAACTAGACAAATAGCTCCCTCTGCTGGCTTAGTCATGGAACCACAATTTGAAAGATTATTAGCTCTTAATGAAAACCAGTAAGATATAAAGGGCTTTGTTGTTGTTGTTGTTGTTGTTATGTGCCGTCGAGTCAAACCCGACTCATAGCGACCCCTCCTTGGGTTTCCGAGGCAGCATCACTACGGCAGTAGGATTGCCCAACCTTCCTTC